GGATAGTTCTAGAAAGGAGAGGGCGTGAGAATAGTCACGTGATCTCGCTGACGCAACAATATGTTTTGACTTATTCTTTATAATCATTATTACAGGCTACTTACGTCTAGTAGGGAATGTCTGGACAAGACGCATGAAAAACGGTTATTGTTAATTTGCTAGCTTTACTTGGGAATGACTGGATTCTACACATGGCAAAATCCTATCGCCAGTTACTTACCTTTACATCACGGTTTATCTAGCTTTAGCTTGGAATGTGTAGCCTTCACACGTAACAAACATTACCGTTTATCTATGATGAAATTTAGTTGAATGGACTGCAACTGCCTGTTGTAGAAACACAAATATAGAGGACTACGTTTCAAAAGTCTTCTGCCTGAAGACAAAAGGCGGAAGACTTTTGAAACGTCGTCCTCTATTATTGTGTTTATACAACCTGCAGTTACCATACATTCAACTAAATTTTATCTCTGCCTAAACAATCTATCAAAGAATACCCTTTACCTAGCTTTAGCTTAGAATGTGTAGATTGACACGTAACAAACAAACAAACCTAGCTTTAGCTGGGAATATGTAGCCTTCACACGTAACAAACAAACAAACCTAGCTTTAGCTGGGAATATGTAGCCTTCACACGTAACAAACAAACAAACCTAGCTTTAGCTTAGAATGTGTAGATTGACACGTAACAAACAAACAAATCTAGCTTCAGCTGGGAATGTGTAGCCTTCACACGTAACAAACAAACCTAGCTTTAGCTTAGAATGTGTAGATTGACACGTAACAAACAAACAAACCTAGCTTCAGCTGGGAATGTGTAGCCTTCACACCTAACAAACAAACAAATCTAGCTTCAGCTGGGAATGTGTAGCCTTCACACCTAACAAACATCACCCTTTAATTAGCTTTCGCTGAGGATCCTTACACTTGACACAAAACAATTAGGTTCAGTTTTCCGTCTTTGTTTAGAAAAGCTGAACTTAACACGTAGTTACTTTATTGGTAATGTTTTGGCTTTATACGTACTGAAAGTTTATGACGATTACCGAGCTGTAATTACATTTTAACATGTATAGAACACGAAAGAAAGGTTATTCACTTAAAATAATGACTATAATTTAGCTGATTTTCAACACGAAGTATGAAGCTCTATTTGACCAGCCCACATTTTTTCTTGTTCAGATTCAGTATTATTTTAAACAAATTGATAATCTAGAAGTAGTGTATAATTTACTTTTTCAGCACTTTTAGTAGATTTTTTTAATGTACGTTCTTGTTAGGATTAACAGCAAACAGTGCTCGTTTATTTTTATGCTTCCCTTTTACAGGGCCGTACCGATGTTTGATGGCGCCTATTGCGACATACAAGTTCGCCCCTTCCCCAAATCTTATTATTCTAAATATTTACAACACATTATATAAAATGTTATAATCATTATAAACTATAATCCAGAAAAAAGATAATGCATGCATTCAATTTATCGTGCAGTTCAGTTTGAGTTTCCAGTATAACCAACCAATGAATTCTCGGTAAACAAGCTGGGGCTACACGTGCGTAACTTCCGGGCAGTCGACTGTTTGTAAGTACGCATTCAACAGGCAATATGGAACTGTTCATCCCATCTGCAAGGGTTGTCTTGATGCAGGCAAGCCGGCATTAGTTCATTTTGTTAGTCAATCGGGCAATCGACGTCCCCCCTTCCAGTTGGCGCCCTCTCGCACTACCAACGGTACTGTCTTGCTCTTTTCCATAACCAGGACATGGGACGACGTAGTACATATTGAAATTTTATGTTCTGTAAAAAATGAACATACAGTAGTTATCTTGATTATGTTTCAAAACACACATACACAGACAATTCCGTTATGTTTCATGACGCTGTTATGTTAAACTTATATTAAAGTTTTTCTTCATTACCCATTCAAGCAGTCTCCAACCATTATTTTATTTATATTGTTTATTTTTTAAGAAAAGTGTTCATTGTTTGGGTCTCAGCTAAATATATCTTGAAACTTGTTTTTAATTATAGCACTGACCATGTATTCATTTCGTGCTTTGCACTAGGTAATGGGGCAGAACAGATAGCACATGGTTCCCATGGATACCTTTGTTGGAAAGGAAGACGCAGAGTATTGTTTCCCAGCATGTAAGTATATGACGTAAAGTGATGTTATTCTCAGCTAAGGAATATTAAGTTAGTAAAGGTGGAATATTTTTTCATCCAAGTTGTGTAGGTGCGCAAAATTGTAATTGAATATAAAACTTATCATGAACGACATAAAAACATCTGCACTTTATAAGCACGAAGATAAAAAGAGGTATGTTTATAGGTTAAACCTCTAAGGAGTTAATATATATTAATATTGTTGCGTCAGCGAGGTCACGTG